TCGAGTACCCGAATCCCATCCCAAAAGCCTATAAATATACCTCCTTTCCTTCACAAAAAGATATCCAATTCCTTTGTACATCTAAGCTCAGTATAGAATAGCTCTTTCTTTATATTTTTCATCATGTTTAGTCTCCAAATGAGGAGCTAAACTCTTCCATCTTGGTTTTGCTACTTTGAAACTTAATGAATTTGAAAGTTGTGAGTTATTTTCTTTAATCTTCTTCCTTGAATATTAATTCTTCCTTTAAAATACTATTTCTATATCAAAGTTGGGGAGTGTTACTAAGATGACAATTAGTTAACATCTTGACATTGGTTATAGTAATAGCTATTCCTTCCTCTATGTTAATATTGGGGAGTGTTACTAAGATGACAATTAGTTAACATCTTGATATTAATCATAGTAGGATTCATATCCTTTAATATTCTTCCTTGAGTATTAATTAATTCCTATTCATATTTCATATTAATATTTTGAACATTACTTAAAGTATCAACTAGTTTTGTTTCTCATATTAATTATTACTAGAATCAATCGGTTAATACGCTTGTTATTAATCCGGTTCTTTCAACGGTAGTAAACTTGGAATATTAATGCATGCATCTCATGGGTAATATGCCAAGGGGAATTAATTATATTGATTGAACCAATAAACCGCTTGTGTTGAGGTTATCAATCTCAATCGTTTTCATCTTAAGTTTATTGCTACTATCAAGTTAATATACGGCGCTTGTTCTATGTTGACTCAATAGTAAGTTTTATTAATGAACGCATCTCGTTATTAATAACTACCCTCGATGAACTGGATATACTCCTCGATTGAGTATTCGAGAGGAAGATAGTTAAAGATATAACCGGGATCGACGAACATCTCATTAAGTGGATAAAAGCAAAACCAAGTCCTCATCTCATTGAATTAAACTCATATAGGTTGTTTATCTTAGTGTTTTTAAACCAAACAAATCTAAACCCCCCTATTTACTACTTATATAAAAGAAAAGTATTCCTTTCCCTGTGGATACGAACCTTACTACACTATACTACGTATTAGTGATTGTATTGTATTTATTTTGAGTGCACCTAACGACAAGTGCACGTCAAATTTGGCGCCGTGGCCGGGGAGACTAAATTTAGCTCCTCCCAACTCTATATTAGTCATGTCCAACATCCTGTCCTCCGCCTATTTTTGAAATTCCTTGCCAACTCCTTGCTTGGACGTCCCAACAATCATCACACTAGGATGGGGGATGTATGCCTGATATCGGTAGTCCTATTCCGTGTCCACGTGGATTTCAACCTATGTAATCTTATGTGGGCACATCTCAAAAAAGAAAGCGTAGCAAAGGGCGCTATTGTGGTGGGCGGGGTGATTATGCACTTGGCCACAAAGTTCGGGTATGCGGATAACTCTCCTATACCCGACTACTGTTTGATGAACATATCTTGGCTGGGCCACTCGGGCTGTACATCTTTTTCACACACCGTTTATGGTGAAGAAAGACCCAGGAATATGTACAACTGGTTCATTCACCCCAAACCCCTCAAATACTTCCTCCTGCCCAACCCAGAACTCCCCCAACTCCACTACAAAACAGCAAGAGAGGAGCAACATTACCTCTTCCCACACGCCCTTCCACCACATCTCCAGGAACCGGAACAAGAACCTCCCCAACACCAACCCGATTACGAGCCCTATGCTCAACTCCATAGCCATCACAACATGGGCCAGGACATCCCAGAACAAAGCCAAAACCCTCCATCACCCGACTTCTTTCAACAACTTCTGGAGGGTCAACAACAACTGCTTGCGGGATACGTCCAAATGGACAACCGACTCAACCGGTTAGAGGAAGAGCAAAGAGCCGGTTTTCAGCGATTAGAGGAGGAGAAAAGAGCCGGCTTTCAGCGATTGGAGGAGCTCAAGGAGGCCGATAGACATCGGTATGAGGAAGACCAACATAGGTTCTACGGACCTATGTACTCTTATATGGCACAACAGGGATCCTTCCATACCATGGCGAACCCCCCTCCACCACCCTCGTGGTATGACCCCACTCATTGGGGTAACTTTGGAGGATCTGGCTCCGGGGGTGGCGGGTACGACGGCGGAGACGGCGGGGACACCTACATGGGAGATGGTGGCCAAGGGAGCGGCTTTGGAGGGAGCTACTACGGAGGAGAAGGCGGGCACTAGGGACAGTGCTTGATTCAAGTGTGGGGGAGACACTCATGATGGTATGTAATTTTCATTTCTACCTAGCACTATGCATGTAATTCTTTTGAACTTTTACACAAAAAAAAAACATAAAAAAAAATAAACAAAAGAAAATAAATGCTAGTTAGGTTGAAAACCCAACAAAATGGGCAATCTAAGCAAAAAGGGCTTATAAAAAAAATGAGTGAGTTGGAGAGAATGGAAAATGAAAAGAGATGCTAGGATGAAAACCTGAAAAGGCTCCTAGGCAAAATGAGAGATATGAGGGAAATGTTTGTTCTTGCAGGCACTCATTGTATCCCTGTGAAGAATAAGAAGACTCAAGATAAAGAAGAAGAGGAGAAGAGAAGATAACACTAGGAGGCCATTAAACCCAAGATGCTCTTTTGTAATTTGAGTTTAAAACTCATTTTTCTTTGTCATCCTTGGTGGTCTTTGTGTTTGTATATTGTTTTTGTTGAACTGTGAAACTTTTGGATAAACTTGACACTTGTAAACATTTGATCTTACTCGAGACGAGTAAAGGTTTAAGTGTGGGGGAGTTGATACGTTTGTAATTTCCATACTTATGTTTGTGTTTTTAATTAGTTTTGCTTAATCTTTACTATGGAAATTACACACTTTTGGTATAATAGATTAGTTTGTTAAATTCTTGTAAATAGGTTAGATTAGATATATTCTGAGCTCAAACAGGTATTGATCACTCGAAGTACAGTTGGTGAACCCAAAAAGTGAAAAGAAGGTGCAAAAGTTCAAAGACAAAAGAAGATCCTGATTTTGGTCTATACTCGGTCGAGTATTAACTATACTCGATCGGGTATTAGGTTGGAACTTCAAATCGGATCAGATCCGAAGACAAGGGAACATGCCGGGAAGATTTCGGCCACGATTTTATGTCTATACCCGATCGGGTAGACCGACATACCCGATCGGGTATGCCTTTGAGTTTCAAACGAAGATCGGTCGAGTATGGTCCGAATACCATTTTCTAAGCATACTCGATCGAGTATTAATATATACTCGATCGGGTATACTTATGGAAAATAGCCTGAAACCGGTCGAGTATACCTCGGATCGAGTGTTACACACGTACTCGATCGGGTACCATGTATATACCCGATCGAGTACCCGAATCCCATCCCAAAAGCCTATAAATACACCCCCTTTCCTTCACAAAAAGATATGCAATTCCTTTGTACATCTAAGCTCAGTATAGAATAGCTCTTTCTTTATATTTTTCATCATGTTTAGTCTCCAAATGAGGAACTAAACTCTTCCATCTTGGTTTTGCTACTTTGAAGCTTAATGAATTTGTAAGTTGTGAGTTATTTTCTTTAATCTTCTTCCTTGAATATTAATTCTTCCTTTCAAATACTATTTCTATATCAAAGTTGGGGAGTGTTACTAAGATGACAAATAGTTAACATCTTGACATTGGTTATAGTAATAGCTATTTCTTCCTCTATGTTAATATTGGGGAGTGTTACTAAGATGACAATTAGTTAACATCTTGATATTAATCATAGTAGGATTCATATTCTTTAATATTCTTCCTTGAGTATTAATTAATTCCCATTCATATTTCATGTTAATATCTTAAACATTACTTAAAGTATCAACTAGTATTGTTTCTCATATTAATTATTACTAGAATCGATCGGTTAATACGCTTGTTATTAATCCGGTTCTTTCAACGCTAGTAAACTTGGAATATTAATGCATGCATCTCATGGTTAATATGCCAAGAGGAATTAATTATATTGATTAAACCAATAAACCGCTTGTGTTGAGGTTATCAATCTCAATCGTTTTCATCTTAAGTTTATTGCTACTATCAAGTTAATATACGGCGCTTGTTCTATATTGCTTCGATGGTAAGTTTTATTAATGAACGCATCTCGTTATTAATAACTACCCTCGATGAACTGGATATACTCCTCGATTGAGTATTCGAGAGGAAGATAGTTAAAGATATAACCGGGATCGACGAACATTTCATTAAGTGGATAAAAGCAAAACCAAGCCTCCACATCTCATTGAATTAAACTCATATAGGTTGTTTATCTTAGTGTTTTTAAAGCAAACAAATCTAAACCCCCTTTTGTTACCATTTATATAAAAGAAAAGTATTCATTTCCCTGTGGATACGAACCTTACTACACTATACTACGTATTAGTGATTGTATTTATTTTGAGTGCACCTAACGACAAGTGCACGTCACATATATAATAGAGAAAAGGGGCAAATAAGCCCTCGAACTAACCGAAAAAGTGCAAATCACCCCTTTTATAGGAGGCTCTGTCCGGCCGTCACCATTTGGGGTGGTTACCGGTATAATTTTTTGATGAATTTTTTTGAGCATCTTCTTCATTAAGTATAGTTTACCCATACCAAATTTCAGCTAAAAATGCAATCGAGAAGGCAGTAAAATAATTGTTTGAAGATAATTGTGCAGTTAAACAGCGCAGTATATTTCAGATAATCATTTGACTACCTTCCCGGTTGAATTTTTAGCTAAAATTTGATATGAATAAACTAGACTTAATGAAGAAGATGCTCAAAAAAATTCATCAAATAATTCTATCGGGATCCTCCCGAAATGACGAAGGCTGGATAGAACCTCCTATAAAAGGGGTGATTTACACTTTTTCGGTTAATTCAAGGGCTTATTTGCAGCTTTTCCCTATACAATATAATTGCATAGCACACCAAGAGAACTGTACTTGAACTAGTCATGCCGAATCATACAAGCTAATGTCATCCATGATAATAATGCCAATTGCTAAGTATAATGACACAATTAAGATGATAAATAACCGAACAAATACGTAATTTAATGTTAGCAGTAACCAATGCACAATAGTTAGAAGGGAAATTTAAAAAGAAATAATTAATTAATGCCTGACAAATAACATAAATCATAAAATTTTAAGTTGCACGAGCCTTCATGAACATATCAATATGGGCATGTGTAGGGGCAGGGGTATTCATCTACTATTTGAACATTTTTCCTCTCGAAATACCATGCCCCAAATAAGCTCGCTATTGTCTGTAATTAAAAACAATATAAGAGAAACCATATCAATTTAATTAACGAAAAATTAAACCCAACAGCAAAATATTAAAGTAGTGACTACTGAGCAAATGCCACCATTATCTTTAATATGTTAATACAATGATTTGAGTAAGCTTAGGGACGTTTAATTGTACGGGTCTGTGGGTTGGAATAAGGCTCGTCAATTTCTGCTCGAATTCATGACCCATGAACTATCCATATATGAAAACACATATGGCAATAAATAAATAATTTGTGTTTCCTTTATTTCATCAACAAAATAAATAAATAAATCATTATTACTAATATAATAAATTGGCTAAATTATTAGATATGGCAGAAAAGCGAGGTAGGGGCCATGGGCCAATACAAAATTAAACATGCAAACTCCAACGCCCTTTTGATGTTTGGTTGTGAAGAGAAGAATCATAGAGTCAATAGGGCGCAGGGTTTTGCATGTATGAAATGATACACCTTGAATTATAAAGATACGAGTAAGTTTGACACTGTTTGGCACTAAATTAAGGAAATTAAGGAAATAAATTTGACTTTATTGTAGAGTTCACTGTTGTGACACTGTTTGGCACTGTTTTGATGTAGATAATTTGCCAAATAAGGAAGGGAGAAGAAGTGTGAAGTTTATTTTGAACCTACCCAAAATGGAAAGTGTGAAGTTTATTTAGGACCGGAGTACAAAGACACTAAATTTACATATGGTAGGGTTGCTATACAAAAACTCAGAAAAAATACAATTACCAAATATAGTAGGATTCCAGTCAAAAGGAATAACCAACACTGACATTATAAATATTAATATTAACTAATATAGGATTATAGGTATAAAAATGTGACTCTAATTAATTAATTTGGAGTATATGTTTAAATTTTATGTTGACGTGCTTATAAAAATTCATGTAAAAATGATTGTTTGAGAATCATATAATAACTTACGTAGTACTCCGTATTAGTTTAGTACGGAGTATTAACTAAGACTCTCTCTCAAACACTGAAATTTAAAACCATGCAGTCAACCTTCCAAAAAAGTCCAAGTATCCCGACAAGTTACATTTTTTTACACGCTAATTCATTAACATATACTACCTCCATCCCGTGGTAAGATGCATGTGGGTTTGGTGTGAATTTTAAGAAAATAAAGAATATAGCGAGTGTTTTACAATTTTAACTACTCCGTAGTATTTAACTATCTGACTGCCCTTTATATACAAAAACTTTGTATGTCTATGAGCTCGAGAATTGTTTTTTCTCTCTTTTATTATTATTGAGGTTTTCAATAAAACCAAAAAATAATATCCAACATCTCATTCAGAAAAAGAATCAAACCTGGATGTAATCAAAGGCTGACATAAGGAAAAAATGGGTGTTTTGACGTCATTCTGTAAATTCGGTGGGAAAAAACACTGCAGGAGTTGAAAAAATAAATATTACATACTACAAATTCAATTTGAATATGATGCATGTACTTAAGTTGATATTACTCACCAGCTTTGCACTTAATTTTGTGGTGCAAGATTTCGGCAGCGCATTTTTAGATTTCTGTACCAATTTAAATGATATTTATATTCAAGAAAGTTAAAAATTAAACACTGTAAATAAACAAATAAAATAATGTGTGCTGTCATTTTGGTATAGCTTGAGTATAAGATTCAAGAAGAATACATGGAGTTTTATCAAGCCCTCAAACATTGATAGAAACATGTTTCCTCGAGTGTGATTTTTCCTGTTAAACATATAGATATGGTCAGTGTTTCTAATCATATGAAAAGTTCATCAATTTTATTTCGATATACATTATAAACATATTAAATTTAGAGAATAAGTAACTTACACAAGAAAAAAGTAACCACCATCGCACAGACACTTTACTCTAGAAGTGGGTGGAAAAAGACTTCGGAATCTGTCACAGTGAATGGTTGTTGCCACTCCCCCAGCTGAACTACCAGCTAAAAGAGCCTGTAAAAAATAATATTTATGATATTAAACACAAAAAGTTAATTACAGATTACAAAACCCCCCTTTCAGATTCCATACATGATATGATGATAATACATGGCAATATATAGAGAGAAGGGGGGTCAGCTGAAAAATTCTCAACTGCAAGTATACCTTATACTCACAAAAACTTTTATAATTAAAGATATAACTTCTTATAGATTGTTCTTAAAGGTAGTTTTAATGTAAAAAAAACTGATAGGAAGGTATCATTTTTATGATATATTTTGTTAATATACATTACATTTTGCATGTGAGAAATGAATAATTATTTCTCACATGATCTTTTTCGATATGTGTGTCAGTGTGTGACAAAGCTTGCTATATACAAAAGATCTGTATTTGTAAAAGAAAATATAGCAAATAGGAGTAAAATATGGGTTATGTGAACTTGTGAATAAATAGGACCATTCTTGTTTTATGCAAAAAGGTTTTATTATGTCCTACAAAGGGAATAAAAGTAGGAGGTAGATCTTTCTTCCAGGAGTCAATGGCTTCTGTTTTTAGGAAAGAAAAAACTAAAGCCCTATTTGAGAGAATGTGTTAATTACTTAATTTAATTATGTATTTGAAGTTTTCTCAATACTAAATTCATACATTTTTCGCATTCCGCATTCCTTTGTTCAACAGCTCCTTCATCACAGCTTTGTAGATTCTCCGTCCTCTAAAGAAAAGCTTAGTACCCTACAAGAAAATTCAACAAATACACACGAATATGTACTTACATTATAGGATTCATAAATCAAAGAAAGAATATAGACACTATTATATGATTAATACAACAACAACAACATCCAAGCCTTAATCCCAAAAGAATATGATTAATGTACAGCCGACGCCAATACAATCAATCACAATATTTTAATTAATACATGCATGTCAGGGTTGTGCCTTATGATGAAGGCCAATGACGCCGTTGACTTGAAGTCCAGAAATTAAAATTTTAAGGTGTCAAAAGTTTTATGTACTAGCGTAGTATTTATGCACAAGTTTGAGAAATGTGTTCTCTAGCGAGTGGTAGGCAAGGTGTTTAAGAACTCAGGGGCGTAGCCAGGGCACTGGGGCGGTTCTCTGCGCTTCTTTGTTATGAAGCAGCAGTCGGTCCATGCAATTTTGCGCTTTAGTACATGGGTAAGACTGTGTACATCCGACCCCCTTACCCCACCGTAGGTGGGAGCCTTTGCGGTGGGGTAAATGAAAATGAAATGAAAATGATTACTCGGAATTTTTTAAACTAAAAATACTTCATAAATATAAATAGTAATGGTAAAACAAGGACATTGAAAATCACAAAAATCAAAAGAGAAGCTTGAAATGAAAGTGAAAATAGTAGGACTGTTACAAAGTTAATAACAAATCATTAGAAACTTCACAAATTTTTAACTATTCAAAAGAACAAAATCATGTTTGAGTCCAAAATCATGTTTGAGTCTATATTAGGACTGTTACAAAGTTAATTTATAAGGACCGTAATCTTAAATATTTGATTAATCCTTTAAAAGAAAACCATTGATAGTAGTGTTTTGCCTACAGCCTACTTGGTGTTTTCTTTTCTTTTTTTATTGTGAAAAAGTATGAAATACAATGATAATTGGCTTGATGTAGGGTAATATTTCATGTAAGATTTCAATTAATATTAATGAAAGATTCTTTGGACAAATCAAATGTTTTATTAAGCGATTGTAGTCAAGAGAGTACTCACACATTCATTCTTAATGTTCAAAAACAGTTGCATTATCATCAAGTTCAAAAATTGTTTTTAGTTTGGAAGTAGCTTTATCATTAAACAAAAATATGTGCTGATATTTTAATATTAAGCTAGAGAAATTTATCTTAAATAGATATTATGGAATTCAATTGAGTGCCAAAAGTGTGAACCTGTAACTAGTATGCACACACACTATATATCTTCCAACGGATTCTGTTGTACTTTTCTACTAATACTCTCTTTGTCCATTGAAGAAGTTTCATTTGCGTTTTACTATGGTTGATTGGTGATAATGTAAAGTCATCTCTGTGATATTTAAATTACTTTTAATAATGAAAATATTAACATTTAGATACTACACTGAGTTTAACCAAGCATTCCAGCCCAACTGGTTGCGTGGTTACCGTGCCTAGTGAGAGGTCTCGAGTTCGAAACCCACGAGGCACATAAAAAGTTTGAAACTCAATGGAGTCTCAACGCTGATTACTCTAGGGCCCCCTCAGCTTCCCTCCCCCAGACCCCCTGGAGTAGAAAAAAAAATACTACACTGAGTTTTATAAAGCCACAAAATCAGAATTCAAAAATGATAAAAATGATTTATAAAATTGAGACAAAGAGAAATTTCAGTTTACCGTATGAATAGTGAACAGGAAGAAGTTTAAATAGGACCGAGGTAGTAGTTGAGAAGTTTTTGTGTCTATAATTTTATCATATTCATGATATTAAAAAAGAAAATATAGAAATGGAAAAGTAAACAAATATGGAAAAAATAAATCAATTATGCGTGCGCTCATTTTGAAATTATACTAGGGCCTCAAAAACAATCATTTGGTGGTATCATATAGTGCTAATTCTAAATGAAAAAAGTAACCCGCACGGATAGCTCAGTTGGTCGAGTGGTGGGAGATTTGGATCAATAGACCAAGGTTCGAAATGGAAAAGTAAACAAATATGGAAAAAATAAATCAATTATGCGTGCGCTCATTTTGAAATTATACTAGGGCCTCAAAAACAATCATTTGGTGGTATCATATAGTGCTAATTCTAAATGAAAAAAGTAACACGCACGAGTAGCTCAGTTGGTCGAGTGGTGGGAGATTTGGATCAATAAACCTGAAATAAGCATGGACCTCTGATGCACACGGGTGTATGGGCCTACTGCCATTCTGCTGACTGAGTCACCCTGACTAACCTCCCCACCATCCTGTCGTGTCGGGGTGAGGGGCTCCTGGGGTGAGAGATTCCACCATTTGGATCTAAATGAAAAAAGTAAGAACAAGAACCATCATCGTACATTTTCCGTCATTATCTCAGAATTGCCAGTGAATGATGACGCATCACAGTACCGGATATAAACCTTGTTCCAGTCAAAAAAGTCTGCGTAATTTTCAGAAACTAGTTTAGACAGATTTCCATCTAATGAAGACCAGAATATATAGATATAGCTTCAAAATATTTACCAGGATTCTTTTCCATGTTGGAACTTAAAATATAATCAAAGTACATTGCTCTTGGATCTGAACCAACACCTTTATCATGATTGTAATGTTCACAATTGCTGACATTCATACACCATCCGCCCCCCTACAGTTTAACAGTATATACGAGTTCTTGATAAAAAAACATATATCATTACATGCAAAAGCTGCATATTATCAATACATGTAATACTTAAAGCCCAAAACTGAAGAGATAAAAAGGTTTTACAAAAGCCAGCTTACAGGAAGATATACGATCCAATTTTCAATCCCTTTATCAAACTAACCCTGGGACGTAAAATTAAGCTGCCTGATTCCCTCCCAAGCATACTATATTGAATTGAGAAGTTAGATTTTCATGAGTCTGTATAAAGATAAATATAATAATATATTCAACTCGATCGAATATCTGTGTGTAACAAAGGTTGCATTCACCAAGTTATCATCACTTGAAAATGATTGTCATTTATCGGTGAGGGTTATCATTGTAGGTTCACAAGTACATGTGTTTTCATTATGCTCAGCAGTCAGCAGTAATTACATGGAATAAAATGTAAATTCAGTTTTAAAAATTATGTGTATAAGGCCAGGTAACCACCAATCCAAATTTCAGTCCGGTGTAACCGTGTAAATTAAGACATCAATCAAGTGCTATTAGTATTTTATTGGCATTAATTAATAAATACGTACAAATTATGGAAGCATTACCAATGTAGGTATGACTACTTAAGCTCATTACATACAATATAGAATATAGATCACATAGCGTTTCAAGTTATAAAAAAACTGACAGTGTTGTCAAGCATGCCCCTAGCAAATTTTTATATAAATCTTTCTAATTGAGTAATGTGACCATATTTTTACTCATCAAATAATAGTAAAAGTTGTAAATAAGATAATCCTTAGGACCAAACGTGAACAGGGTATGTGTACAAAAATTGTTAAATATGGACTAAAATACTCCCTCCGTCCCTGAAAATTGTTCCCTGTTTCCTTTTTGGGTTGTCCCAGAAAATGGTTCCCCTTTCTATATTTGGAAAAATTTTACACCCTAAAAACCCATTATACCCTCTAAAACATTTACCCCCAACCTCGGTATACTACTTCCTTCCTATCCTACGGCCTATCTCTCTCTCATCTTCCTCATTACATCTTCCCCTCCACCGCCTGTCACACCTTACATTTTTCCGGCCATTTACTCTCCTCTCCTTCCACAGTTTCACTCTTGAATTTGTTGAACTGTAATTCCTTCCCTGATTTCAAATCCTGTCTAACCCTAGCTCTTCCACTTTCTAACCGTCTGTTCTAATTCAAAATCCATAAATCTGACAACCATTTCAGATCTACCTGCAACGACTGCATGCATGGACCATCTGATGGTTCCGGACAGTGAAGAGGGGTGGGAGATGATGGCCAAGGAGATGGAGGAAAAGCTGGCAAAAATACGGAAGGAGGTGTGGGAGCAGTACATTCGCCATCCTGTGCTAGAGGAGTTCTTAAAACTGATCCTACCTGGCTGGGAAACAAGGATGTGGGACGTTGATACCTCTTGAAGGAGAGTTTGTTTCTATTTCTCTTTCCCAATCTGTCATTCAATTGCATTTGTTCAATCATTTCATCATTTTCATTTACCCCAGTGCCGCAAAGGCTCCCACCTACGGTGGGGTAAGGGGGGGTCGGATGTACGCAATCTTACCCCTGTACTAAAGCACAGAGAGACTGTTTCCGGATGACCCATAGTGAAAATCGCGTCCAAAATTGCATGGATTGACTGCTGCTCCATAACCAAGAAGCGCAGACAGTTTAGTAAGTCATTTTGCTTTATTCCATCATAATCTCAAGCAAAAAATGAATCTTTGGCTCCATTGCAAATGATGGAAAATTGCATTTGTTCAATGTGTGGGCAATAAATTGTTGTGGTAATGTTTGTCCGGATTATGTAGTTGTGTTTGATTCTGGGGCAGCAATGATGATTTTAGGGTGTTCTTATGTACTGAAATGTCCTTCTAGTGATGCATATATGGTCTGAGCATTGTTGTTATGTGGCTTGAATGAGTAAGGGTTATGTGAGGCTGGTATGAGTAATATGGGTGATGATTTTAGGGTGTTCTTATGTACTGAACTTCATTGGTACTCATGTTTGTGTGCCTAAATTGTCTGACTAAGGGTTGTGATCACATTGCTATGATGTCAGTGTGATTACAGCCCTGCTGTGATGACCTATTAGTCCACCCATTGCTTGGTTGCTGTGATGACCTATTGGTCTGAGCATTGGTTGGTTGCTGTGATGAACTATTGTTGTTTGTATTAGTCTATTTTTTGTGTGGGCCTGGTATGAGGAATAAGGTGTTTGCTTAAGGCTTGAGAAAGGATAATGTTAAGCTACAATGAGGATATAAATTCTGAGTAGCTTCAACAGTTTAGACCTCTACATTATGACAAAAAGAAGGCCTATACATAATGACAAAAAATAAGGCCTATACATTATGACAAAAATAAGGCCTGTACATTATGACAAAAACAAGGCTTGTACATTATGAAAAAAGACCTTGGTAGTTATGGAATAAGTTCAGTACTGAAGATGATTGAGTCCTAATCATCTTCATGGATGAACTGGCCATTACTTTCTTCTACTAAGTTAGGTGTACCAATGTTACCCTATTGTTGTGATACAAGAGCTTATGTGGCTTCCAGTAAATCCACAAGAACCTCTATGCTTATGGGCAACCTACCTTCTGTGGTCATTATGTCCTTTGCATTATGTGGAAGCTTGTAGTTGTTCCCCCCTTGCACTTTCATTACCTCTACCATGACATATTGATAACTTAACCACACCTTGTTGAGAGTGGTGGGTGAAAGCTGGTAGAATGCTTCATGTACTGCCTTTAACAGTTCATCCACATTCTTAGGTGCTTGTTGGTCTTTCAAAGACTGAATAGCCCTAAAAAACCCAAGGTCAAGTATGTTAAGATTAGGAGAATTACTGGGCTGATAAGTTAGTGTAATATTAAACCCATCTGCTTTTGAAGCTGCGATAAACTCTGGGTCTGAATTTATATTGTGTGGCCTTGCATTGTCTTGTTGGATTATAATGTCCTTGCTTAACTGGTCAGGCCATTTTTCCTTTATGCTAGGCAACACAGTCTTGATAAGCATGTCTTTAAACACATGTTTTGTAATGCTAAGTATAGGTTTGGTTTCCATTACCCCTGCATCCCTATTCTTGCTTTTCCTTTTTGCTGGCAGTTTCTCAATGAACGGGAAAATGCCAATTTTCCCATCCCAAATTACTTCACCATTGTCTGAAAAAAGGGGCCTCCCCACAACTCCTAGTGACATGACCTTGGTAATGAATCTCTTTGACTTGCGTACCCTGTGTGGATCCAATTCATCTGGGCCCATGTAGTACCTTTGTGAAGTTTTTGACAAGAAAAACCATTTCTCATCAATGTGTATGACATTATGGAAAGTCTTAAACACTGGTTTAGAGGCTATGGATTTGTCTATTTGGCTTGAACAGAAACTGAGTCTCTGCATTTTATTTTCATCATTTAGCAAAGGCTTAATAGCATTTGTATGACTTCTAACCGTGTCTCTCTGAACCAATCTGTGAATAGCTGACTTTGAAATTGAACTGGCTGCAGCAAGTGCCCTTATGTTAGTCCTTTTGTGCAAAGGGATTTCTGATATGTTGGTTACATCAAACAACACCCTTTTTCTGCCTGAATTCCCCAGCCACTTGGTTTTTACATCTATAGCTTCCCCCTTCTCAATCTGCTCTTTAGCTTTGCTCCAGATCTTGGAAATACTTTTTCCACTTGGTTTGTCACTGAATATTTAGTGGCTAGCTGAGTTAGAACACCTTTCTGAGCTATGACCTCCCCAGAATCTTTTCTTGTTGCACTGATTAGAATTTCATCAACTATACTTTGTCTATCAATGTTTTGGAGTCTTTTTGCTTTGATATTTGAGCTTTGGTCATTTGTTGGTGTGTGTAGGAGCTCATTTACTCCTGTTGATGATGCCTCCACATCAATAAATGCAGTTGGAGAAGATGCAGTGGGGGAGGAAGCCTCTACATCAATAAATGCAGGTGGAGAAGAACATGTTGTGGGGGAGGAATAGCTTTGCCCGCCACTGCTGTGTGCAGCCATGAATGCAACGTGTAGTGTGTATTAGTGTGTTGTGGTTTGTTGTTTTCAGAATGTGTATTAATAGGTGGGTTGTTTAGATACTTTCCCATAAAAGGGAGGAAAATGTTGGGGGGGAATTTGTGGTGTAGGAAACACCAAAGAATAGCCTGAATTAGTAGTTGTAGCATTTCATATCATGAACAGTGTAAAGCATTTCAGATCATGGGCAGTAAATCTTCTTTTCCCTGCGGCGGCTCCCCCCATTCGAACCTTTCTTTTTCATTTCAGAGGCATTTAGGGAAAGTCAAAGGTTTTTTTAACTTTCCTAAATATCCGTTCCAAGTCAGTGCGGGAACAATTTTCCGAGACGGAGAGAGTATTTGATAAAAAAAATTAGAGGTATTCTTATTTGGACTATTCATAATTCATTTTACATACATAATTTCTCGCTTTCCACATGTATAGTCCCAAAAGATTTTGGGACTAAGGCTTGGATGTTGTTGTTGTGGATATCCACAATATAATGAGTCTAGTTTCTATATCCTTTCTTCGCCCTAATTTTCCCTTCGAGATTTACGTTTACTTATGGGTCCATGATGAAGTTAAATAAACTCCTATATAAGCATCTCTTAACTTTCTGAAACAGGAAAAATGAAATTGCATATAATAATACTTATTTGCTTATCCGAAAAAACTTAGCCTTTGTGCAAATTAATACAACGTACTATACATGCTTACCAATTACCATTTTCGGATCAAAAGAGTTAACATAATACATGAAAGTAAATGTAATAATATATTACGAGTAGGATTATTGGGATTTATGAGTGGGAATCGGAGATAGAATCACTGAAATTTTAAAATGTTGTAATAAGCCGTAGAAGAAAAGAAGTGAAAAATATACTCCCTTTGTTCCATTTTGATTGTCTTACTTTCCTTTTTTGTTGTCCCAAAATGAATGTCACGTTTTCCTTTTGGCAATAAATATGTAGTCCATATCATTCAGGTTATTCTACTCAAATCTCAATCACAACTTTTACTTTTCAACCACTTTATTACTAATCGTGCCAAACTAAATCAGACATCCAATATGGGACAGAGGTAGTATAAAATAATAAGTGTGAACTTTGTTGGAAACTAAATGAAAAGTTAATGTCTTACCAAGGCTAAGAATAGAAGAAGATATGGGAGCTCTCAACACTTCAGTATTTCCTACACAGAACGCTCAAATCATCATAAAAACATATTATAATTATTTTTTATTGAATTAAAATGTGCAATTTGTCTACTCATCATTTGAGGAGAGAAGAAAAAAGAATCAATTAAATAATTAAAGGTGGTATGAACATGAGAATACAAAGATGCCCTGAAGATAAGAGGCCAGAGTATACATTGATGACATTATTACTTAGAGTATTTGAATAGCTTATAGCTATTTAATAATCGACCAAATGCACAATCAGTTATAGTTCATGACTTTTGATTTGAAAATGATTGAATTTGTTTGCATGACACGAAGAAGCGGCTTTAGACGGTAGAAATGTAGAATGGCGTCACAAATAAGGTAAAATTTTTCAACTTCTCAAAAACAGCTTAAATCTTGTAGTAAACGTTCTAAAAAAACAGTTCCTAAACACCATTAAATTTTCAGCCACATCTGAACTTTCTAAAAATAGCTGCAATTTTAAGCTCCCAAACCTGCTCTTGCTTGGGATGAGATAATTATTCATGTATAATAAGTTCTGAATATCTATCTAAAGGAGTATGATGACATTCCCAAGGAGATAACCTATGCTAATGCTAAAATTACGATTAAAAAATTGATCTTCAAACTGTACTTTTAATTATTATGGTAACACCTTCAACCTTAAAAAAGAATAAGAAAAAATAACAGAAATGGTTACCTTCTTTTGCCAAAGCCAGGGAGATGATGAGTGTCATGACCAGTAGAATATCACCAAGTTTTTTCAAAGTAAACCCCATTTTCAGTGTTTTTTCAACTTACCGAAAAAGATTCAAAGTAGAAGTGAAGATTAATATAGAGACAAAGAAGATAGAAGTTGCAATGACTGTGAGTGAATAAAACTGTGTACAAGAACACTCATTTATATTGTAAGGAGGTGATGAAGACGGACAAATGAGAGGGAAGGGTGACAGGGCGTTGTTGGGAGAGTTAAATTTATATCCATTTTCTGCTCCAACACTCAGCAAAAGGCAGGCGTTTAGCTTCCATACTGATGCAGAAAAAAGCACCATCAAAAACCCCATACTGTCCAGCATCAAAAGCAAGCTTCAAATTTTTTTGGAAACAACCAGCTGGCTGAACTTTCTACAATTCAATGCGGGGTAAACCAGCTAGGGCTCTTAACACAAGAAAACCTAAGGGGATTGAGGGGGACCACAATATCCAGGAAAGAATTTTTTTAAGTGAACATAAATGCATATACACATGTAACAAATGCACATCATCCGTAGTGTAAAAAAGTACTCTGTACTTATGAGGGGACACCCCAAAAGTTGAAAATCGAAGATGAACAGTGATCGAGATACTCAAAGTTCAAAATTTGAATTGATGGTTTGAGCCACGAATCCGGAATTCCAAAAGCAAGCAATTCGTACTAGATTACTGTAGGGTCTTAAGAATCGACTGAGAGAACTGAAAACGGTGAATGGAGAAGAAAAATCAATCAAATCCATGGGTTTTAGTCTCTTAGAGCTAGGACTGGACAGCATAAAGGAGGACTAGTACCTGAGCGTCGCCGGAAACCTCCCCATCTCCGTTAAGCTTCTCCATGTCATTCGGCACTGTTGTCATCTGCACATCCTTAGCTTTTTGAGATGGAGGAAGCCTTTTCTTGTTCTTCTTGCTACCTCCCATGGCAGAAGGGATGAAGCAAGAACAATGACGGCAATATAGAGACGGTTAGGATTCCAGTCACGCAGTTCCAGGACTTTAGTTTAGAGCACCCTGATCCCTTAACATTTCCCTTAACATTTTTAAGGGGTTGCTTTGTGCACCCCAAAATTGCTTAATGTAATCATGTCTGGACAAATTTAGTCTTCTTAATTATTAATTAAAATTAGGTAAAATTAAAAATTTAATTGGAATTGCTTTGCGCGCCCTCCTTAGCTCCCTCCTCCTTTCTCTCTTGTTCATATGAAGTTTGCATTAAATATACATCCAATCAAATGGTGCCATATGCCAAGTAATTCTTTTTTTATAAAATGTAATAACTTTTACATTTTTGCTCCAATTTTTATAAAAATTATACCAAATTAAATATCTTTTTATGATCTTTCATATGACATCAATATTATATATGTAATTTTAAAAAAAATCTGGTCAATTTTCGTGAAAGGTCAGATCTGATTCTATTTGTTTGAATCTATCTGGTTCGAAATCAGTTCAATTAAAAACATCCTAAATACCATTCACACCATAAATCTAGTCATGTAACATATGCGACCGTAATGTGGAATCAACATGGTGGTGATGGAGTTTTAAAAGGCGGGGCCTCCACGTTTGAAATTAGTCAAGCAAATAAAAAATGAAGATAATTAGTTTACTAGAGTTAACAATGTTACTTATTCAATTATATAATCTAATATAGAACTTCCAAAAAAAATATAATACGAAGTATAGAATTGTGCAAAGTTAAAAACAAAACATTTATGTTTTTAATTTTATAATATATAAAGTTTATATCAATCATCCAATACAACTGTAACGGGGTCTGTTATAACATTACGACATTCTATAAAATGTTTAATTCGATGAAGAAGTGGAGTATCCCATCCTGTAACACTAGCGTCGTGATAGTAAGACCATGTCAAAATCACTGGTGGCAACAGAGCATTGTCGTCAAGCCAAATCTGTGCATCAAGAGAAGTTATCATTTTATGCATATCATATGGTAATGTGAAAATAAAAAAAGGTAATGTGAAAACAAAATGGAACTATAAAATATTATTTGCTTACAGCTATGTAGTGTTGTTGGGAATGAAGCCGAGCAATGCAAAAATTTGTCTTCGGAGGACTACTACCAGGAGGAGCGATCATGGGCAAACAAGTGACTGGTTCGTGGAGGTCAAGATGCACTAAAATAACTTGGTATAACGTTGCAAAGATCAGCCCTGTGTGCGGCATGTGTATCCAATGTCGTGGTGGTGCAGGACTGATGTAGTAGGAGGAGCGATCATGGGCAAACAAGTGACTGGTTCGTGGAGGTCAAGATTCACTAAAATAACCTGGTATAACGTTGCAAAGATCAGCCCTGTGTGCGGCATGTGTATCCAATGCCGTGGTGGTGCAGGACTGATGTAGTAGTCTATTTGCTCCCGCAAGTCATCAATAGTGTCAAGAAGGCATATAGGATCATACAACCCACGATGACGATCTAGTTCTTCCACTAACTCTCTTCGAACTCTAACCCATTCGTTTTCTCCCCATCCTAAAAGCTCTGCAAATGAGCGATATCCGCAATGTCCATCTCCAATAACGTTCACAACTTTACTAATATGCTCAAGCATGAATGTCTCAACATCATTACCGAAATTAAATTGCATTCGATTTTGATTCCCTTTACTATCCTTGCCACGTCCACGAGACCCATGATGTGATATGGTACCTTTGGATTTTTTGTATTTTTTCTCAGTGTACTCCCACGCGCTTGGGTCTCGAGTGGTTGATTTTTTTTTGGGCCTTCCCTTCGTTTCATGAATCGGTGGCTCTTTCATAGTATTAAGTTTTGGATTTTTCATCTCATTCCATTTTGCATGAAGTCTTTTTTTTTCTTGTGCTGACATACGACCTGATTGAAACTCATCAACTATTGTTTTTAGGACCACATCATCAACACTTATATCACCTGCCTTGTCATTTTCTTGTTCCTTATTTACATACCATTCAACTTTTCTCCAAAATTCATGTACCATTGATGGATGTAGTGGACGATTATCACGAATACAAGTTGCTAGCTCGTGTGGACATGGTAAACCATAACACTCCCTCCACCAATAGTCATTGCATGTTGGATCATATTTTCCTTCTATGACCTCATCATGCATCCTTAATAACTCCTTCATGCACTCATTTGACACCATGTACTGAAGCTGACTAAGTGTCGGCATCGTATCCAATACCGTTGGAATGGTGCAGCGTGACAACTCTAAAGATTCCTTCACTTCATCCAACTGATCATTCAGTAAGTTGTTTATCTCCGCAAAAACATTTTCAAACCCCTTAACAGATGTGGCCGGCTAATTGTAGCTTTAACATTGCATGTGCAGATTCCACCCTGTAGCACAAAAAGTTAATGAAATAAAACTAAAGAAATTATTCATTTTTTTTATAAAATATCGATTTACCTATTAGTAGTTCTTGTGCCAAAATGCATGACATGGTCGGTCCACACTCTCACTAAACGATCTTTGTACGGGTCTAACCAATTTTCAGTAAGATATCTCATCAGGCCCCAACTGTTCTTCCATTTCGATCTCATATGTTCCAACTGCTCCTCATATTGTTCAACAGTGGTTGAACTAAACAACTTCATGCATCCTTTTGAAAAGGATGTTTGAACCGTCTTCATGTTGCTCAATTTTAAAGCTTTATCTTCTATGTTACCCTTGTGCTTTGACTTTTTTTGTAGTTCGATACTTACCGAATTTTTCACACGCGAGAAGTACATTACCAAGTTTTTGGGAATTACTTGGCCTCGATTTTGCAATAGTTAATATCATGTTTCTCTTTTGGGCCTCTACTCTAGCCCAATTAATCATAGACTCACGATCCGTCCAAGTTTTATTAGTTTGAAAGTCTTCCGAAAAATTATGTGAAGTGAATGGTTGTGCTTCTTCAACTGGATCAAAAATTAATTTTTCTTCGACACGAGTCAAGCTATCATCGTGAAAAACAAGCCCGATGTACACGTCACTATCATCATGCATGTATCATACAAGTAATTGATAAAAGCAAATTAGATGAGATAATGTACTACAAGCAAACTGCTTTTACATTTAAACTTTTACATTGGGTGATTAGGCCGATTAGTCTTCTACAGTTAAGACCAGCTAGGTTTACTAGGTCAATTCGTAGTATTAAATTAACATTCTAAAATATAGAGGATTATATTTAGTAAGACACATTAATTTATAAATATATTACCATTAATGATGTTTTTAATTGAATTAAAACTATCTAGCCTAATCAAATATGGTATGATCTCATTCGATTTGATCTGTTTAAGTTTGGTCTGGTCTAGTGTAAACTCCATGTAGCGAGTTTCTGACCTGTTTACCCCAGGCTTGCCTCAGCCCCCCCCCCCCCCCCCCCCCCCCCCCCCCGAATTGATATTTTATGGAAAACCTCTTAAAATAATAACTAAAATATACTTTCTCGACTTTCAAGAACAGAAAAAGTCGAGAAAGTATTTAGATTCATTTAGATTCATCTAATTCTAATCTGATTTGATCTAATCTAGTACATTGTTACTAATATTTAAGTCGAATATACTATAGTCTTCTATGAGACAAAACGGGATGAAGTGATAATATTCATTATAGTAAAAAATTTAAACATGATTAAAAAATTACTTTGTTTGTATTTAATATGAAAAAACTTTAGGCAAATAAAGATATACTACCTCCGTTCTCTTTTAAAAATTGATCACAAATAAAAAGTTTGTATGCGATAAACTTAATGAAACAGATCAAAAATAAAAATTGAGATACAAATAGAGTGGAAGATGAAGTGATTAATATAAATTAAGATAAATAAATACCTCATAAGAATGAAAGTCAAGAGTACAATTTTCTAGACAATCTTCATATTCACCCTTCATTGTATAAGAAGATAATATTATGTGGTAGTTATGTTGAAATTTGTTATCTATGAGAGCATTATACTATGTTACAAATATTTATATATTTGATGGTACTTGAAATTTGTTATCTATTAGGATTGTGAGTATATTAAAGGTAATTATTTTTTAGAAAGAAGTTAAACAAAAGGTGTATGAGTGTGTTGCTTTTTTTAATTGATACGGGTAAAGCTTTTTTTAATTGATACCGGTAAAGCCTAAAGCCTTATCATTCAATTTTAGGAAAGGGGCAGATTTGATAGGACTGCAGGAGGTGTAGTATCGTGATAGGATTCGATTACCAAAAAAAGTCCAAATCAGCGGTGCGCTTCAGTGTCGTGAGCTAGATTGCAGGAGGACAAATCAGTTCAGTCATGGATAAAAGAAGGTGCGCGTAGTAATAAAGGAGGTGCGCAAAGGACATCCTTTTTTAAGAAAAAAGTGTGAGTTTGGTACATCAACTTGGGAGCGGGAGAGTAAAGAGTACATCAAGTTGTCAAATTGAGTATAATTTCATTCATCGGGCAATTAGGTCTGCTAACTCGCTGACATGGCCAATGGATTACTAATTTGGCATTAAAATTAGCCTTTTGTGTGGTAAATCATGGCCTCCTAGTCAGCATCTTCCTAAATACTCCAATCGTACCCTAGAAATTGAGAGAAGCCCAATAGAAGACGGTGCGCATGTGAGTTCGTTGTTGAAGGTGAAGGGGAGTTCCTTCGGCAAAGGTGCAGTTTTGTGTTCGTTGTTAATCTATTGTTGTATTCAGATCATGATGAAACGAAATGTCCAACCTTCATGTATACAGGTTTGAGAAAGAGAGAACCAGACAAATGTCTTATGGGAATTGCTAATGTGGAATTCTAGCAAAGATAATGACTTCATGGACAAATGACAATCCAGGGAGACGCTTCATCGCTTGCTCAAGAGTAAGGGCAACTCCAATGATAAAAATGTGTTATTTTTTATTTGTTGTTAATTTTGATTCTTTTTAAATTAATATTAATGGTATTATCACAAATAGGGTACATGTGCGTGTTGCAACATGTTCGAATGGCTTGATGAAGAAATGTGTTATAGGTCCAAAATGATTATTCCTGGTTTATTGAGGAAAATAAACAAATTGGAAGTTCAGCTTGTTGAGGAGAAAGC